GAAAAGCAGACATGCTGAAAAGAAAACAGCATATCATTATTTCAAAACTCTTCTTCTAGATAAGAGATTATCTAAACATTATTTGACAAATATTAATTGTTACAGCCTCAGGTAATTTCCATAATATAAACTATTTTGTGACGTCCTTGACTTTTTTCCCTACAGACAAGTAGTTAAGGATGGGGAGAGTAAATAAGAGAACTAAGCGATTTCATGTACATTGCCCTAGAAATATTTATGGTTATGTGCATAAACAAGAAATCTCTTCCATTTTCTATTTTGCTTTTAGTTCAGAAGGTATATTGCTTTTTATGTCCCCAGATTTCATTTCCTGAGTGTGGTACCAAGGATATTCCTCTTGAAGGACTTGCTGGGCAAACTAATACATCTTCCAAGATAAACTGCATTCAGGAAAAAAAAAATGACTTCAGAGAAATTGTGTAGTGTATGTACTGTAAAACTCATTACCATCATGACATAGCTAAATTCTCAGATGGTATATAGCCTTGCTTCAATTATAATATGAATCAAGCATGTAGGTTTCAAGTGTGAACTTTAGTTTCAAAAATTGTATTAGTTAATATTGTACTTTTAAAGTACTACTAGTTAATAAAAAATAATAACAGTTCAGTTGATAAATTTCCCTAATTCAAAAATGAGAAAAATATCTTCCTCAGGTACTTTACATGCTCTATCTCATACTACATATACATTATTGATTTGGTTTTCAAGGACTTGACAAAATTCTCCTACATCACTGTATGCAAAGCAATATCTGAGATTAATTAACTCTAAATGTGGGCAAACCATTATTGTACATATTCAAAAGGAACATTCTCTGTCCCATCTATCACATTTTGACTTTAAACAGGATTTTAAAATTGCAAAGTATACCAAATCATATCAAATCTATTACTAATAAAAGTTTATAAAGCATTTTGGATGAAGCAGACATAGTGTTTGAATGTTAGATCTTACAATAATTTTCAAAAGCCCTGATATGCTGATAGAAAATGGTCAGGGAACCAAGGTAAAGACGGCAGCTACAAAACAACTGTTTACAAAATGAACAGACTTATATTGAACACCTAAGTCAAAGCAGCTTTTTCTGTAAGAAATTCATTCCCTCTTTCTCATTTTTTCTTCCAAATTGTTTGATTAGCAGATTTAGGGACTGCTTAAAATATAACTATCCTTTTTAATACATAATTTACATCTAGTCATTTTTGTACCTCTGAAAAATGAAGGGCAATGTGGCAACAATCTATTCTAACAATGATTTAGACACAGTAGAGCAGGATGTGCATTCATGAGATATTCCACCCAGATAAAATAATATATGTAAAGCTTCCAATCCATTAATGACACTCTAGGAAATATGAAAATTCTTGGGCTTTTTATGATAAAATATATACCATAGAAAATAGTCTTTAGAATAATTCTATTTACTTAATTACTACACTTTTTACTTTTGCCCAAATTTGGGGAGCCAAATTCTAACATCAAGCTATAAATAGAAGAAAAAATAGCCAAGAAAATAAAACATGCTACTTTTCATATATGAATATAGTTAAACACTAGAACTGGGTGTAGAGTAGGTCCAATAAGATATCTTGAGGTATTCTGTAGAATGTAACCTTATCTTCTTTATTTTCTATTATGACAAATAATAATAGTTAAACAAGGACTTTTAACCTAACAACCAATGTTGTAATAGGAACAGTGGGTGACATTCATAGACAACTCAGTGGTAGAAGGCAAAGCTTTCCAGACTCCAAACCCTGATGTGCCGTGGAGCTTATGGCAAGTATGGGTATGTTGGTGCTTTGGCAGTTAAAAATAGCTAGCACTCTGATAGTTAAACCACTGGGGACTCAGCCCTGTTTCGTGTCAGGGCCATTAAACCATTGGTGAGGGGGGGATCTCTGAAAAAGCTACCAGCTTACCACATATTGCTTTGGCTTGGACCCCAGTTTCTGCTCAGTGAACACAACCTATGGTAGGACAAATGAGATCTGGCCACCTGCTGGTCAATAATTTCTCTCTCTACATTCTCCCTTTTCTCATTCCCTATGTAAAAACATGCTAAAATTGTTATTTCTCCTCACGTGTCTGCTTTTGAGTCATGTTCTACAATTGTAAGCATGTGGGAAAGGAACGCCAAGTCAACTTAGGTCCCCTGAGTTTGTCCTGTTTCATCTGGGAGCCCATCATGGGGCCAGACACCCATCAGTGTCCAGCCTCAGGGAATAGCCCCTGCGTGGTCCACCATAAGCACATTGAAATTGCTGGATTGGTGGCAGGATTTTTATCTATTTAATTTAGAAGAGTTGGGCTTTACCTATAGTTCTATGTGTATGATTTTGCATGGTTGTTAAATCTTGAATTTAGGAAGTTTTGTTCCCCCGCCTCCTCCTCCTGACACTCCTCCTCTACCTTTCAGTTTTTGTTAAGGGCATCCAATAAAGACTGTTGTATGGAAGCTGACTTTGATCTTATCGGAGAGTCTGTGGGCATACATCTGGGGCACTTTTCAACCTCTAACTCAAGATTTGTGTTTCTGGATGAATGTGTTTTTTTTTTTTTTTTTTTTTTTTTTTTTTTTAAAATAAGAGTGATAAGCCTTCTATTCTGGCCCGGAGACCACCTAGTCAAATTTGGGTTGACCAGAAGAAGATATGATGTCCATTGGCGGAATTTTGTACCACTTTTTCTGACTTTTCTAGATTTAGAAAAGTCAGAGGTCCATTTGATGGCACAAAGAAGTGGAAGCAACCTACCAATCACAATGACAGAAAGATTAGAAATAGGAGGTGATGGACCATGACCTACTGGAGACTTTGAATGTACCAGCAGAAAAACATTTTCATGAGGACAGGGTCTTTCCTGAAGAGGGTGCAGAGGCTTCACTTCCCCTCCCAAGATAGGACTAGAATGGCTTCTCCTCATACCAGACAGGACACTCAATTTTGACAAAGGAGCTACCCTGAGGTAGGACATTCCTTTTTGCCAATACCCAATGGGTTAACTGAAATGTCAGGGGTGGGCTCCCTGGTGGCGCAGGGGTTAAAGACAGTGCTATCAAACTATCACCAGCCACTGCAGCATGAATTTGATCCCCAGCAGGCCAGGGAGCAACCCACATGGCACAGCTGACGACTCCTGCCTTGCCCGCGGCTCCCTTCCACAGTGTATTTTAGTAGATCTGCCTGCTCTGTTCCCCACTCTGTCTCCGGTGAATCCTCTCACCCTCACACATCTGACCTATACCCCAGTTCTTATATGCATAAATAAACAAATGTTTTTAAAAAAGTCAGGGGTAATCTGCACTATACTATTGATTTCAAAATTATGTTTTCCATTGAGCACCTTCTGAATTATAGAAATTCCTCAACACCCACCCCCATTGGCAGGATCATCAAAGGATGGCTGATTTGTCTACTTGTATTTCTGCTTCCCATCAGCCTACCTGGGTGGAGATACAACCCATATTTTATACACTATTATTGTTGGATGACATAGGAATTGATTTTGGGGGAAGGCTAATGAAGATGCCCATTGGCTCCACCAAGATGATCCAGCAACCCTGGTACTGGAAGGGGCTATGCCAAGGGTAGATTATAGAAAGGCAAGAACACTATAAGAAGTACTCATCAGCAGGGATAAGTAAGGGGAAACTTAAGCAAAAGATTTATGGTAAGACACCACAGCTTAAACAAAAGGTAAATGAGGATCCACTGGAGAAAGATTTATGGTAAGACACCAGAGCTTAAACAAAAGGTAAATGAGGATCCACTGGAGAGTATTGAAAGAATTATTCAAACTCATAGTACTGACACAGGCATAAAACCAGATACAGAAAATTTTCGTATGATAAACATGGACAGACTACTTCAGATATAAGCAGGAAATAAAGATAGTAAGTGACACAGAGATAAGTCATTTCCAGTTGGTGGACATAGCCTTTAGAGTTTATAATGCAAGAATAAGAAAAGAGGCCTAAGTCTACAACAATTTTTGCAGAGAGAGAGAGAAGGCAGGATAGTGTTTGGAGGGATAGAGAATGGTTGTAGAGAAGAAATGGGAGAAATAAACCCTAAAGAAGAATATGTGTGCTGAATTACAAAGAGAGGCATTAGAAGAACAGGTGTCTCAAGTTGAAAACAAGAAAGGGGAGAAGGCATGAGAAAGTGGCAAGGAAGGAAAGGAAGCAGAATGACAGCACAGAAAGAGGATTCAAATAGGGTCACAGGAGAGAATATACACTAAGTGAAAGGAATGAAGAAACAAGGAGAGAGGAATGCAAATGATAGTTTAAGTTTGGCACTTAGCTGAAGAATAGGGAAGCCCACGGGCTCCTCTCAATCTGAAAAATCCTATTATGATAACCTCTTTGGGAGGCCTGAGTAACTCTCACTGTGGAGGATGATTTGGTTGATTTATGTTTGGTAAGCAATAGAGCAAAATATTTAGTTTTGAATTCTAAATTGGCTCAGGTGAGCAAGAGAACTCAACCAGTTACTGGGTTATGAGCAGACCTATTGTTATATTGCCTTTGCATTATCTTTTGTTGCCATCATTAAAAGAAAATGTTAATAAGCATTCTTACTACTAATGGCAATGTTTCTAACTTTGCATAATTTCAATAATTTTGTTACTCCATAAATAGAAAACTGAAAATATAGCTATATTACTTAGGTTTTGATTGGAATGCCACATTTTTGACATTCTGGGATTTGCAATTGAGCTGTACCAAGAAGGAAAGAGATGTCACCTTGATTGTGTGCTTCTCAAGAGAATAGGGAAGCTTACCTCAATTGGCAGGTATGAACACCATAGGAAAAAAAGCTTTGGGAATGTTAAGAAGAGGAAATCTATCCAAAGGCAAATGTTGTAGTTTAAGAATAAAAAAGACTGACAATCAAAACATATTTCTTTTCACTGTTTCTGACAAGTGCTACTTCATAGTTGAGTTATGAGTCCTTTTGCTACATACATACCACAACTCCAAATTGTTCAGGCTCACAGAGGTCATCATATTCATTCTTCAGCTGTGCTAATTCATTGAGTACTTTTTGTTCAGGAAGATGTTTTACTAGGTTCTAAAGAAAAAAAGAACAAATTATAAAAGTTTAGTGTTTTATTAAATATAATTAACAGCTCTAAAAATGAATAAAAGGGAGAGTAGGTAAAGCTCTCATTGTGGTTCCTTTATAGTACCAGCATATCACCCCTTTCCCTCCAAAAAATTAGCCAAATAAATGAGCTACAATTTAAAGTTACAATTAAACAAAATGTATAAACAGGTTGGTTTCTTTGAACTGCAATACACACATGTCAATAAAACTTAGATGACAAGTGACAATCCAAAACAGACTAACCTTCTAGGCCTTAAACACATAGCATTATTTTTCAGTCATAATTATTGTCATGATAGTCAATTCAAACAGAAAACAGAAAAATACCATGCAGAATTAACTAAAATGGAATAATTATATAGAAAAAAACACTGCTATTCTTCATAACTCACATTTGGAAACATTTTTCAATCACACAAAGCACACCAAACCTGTTTCAAAAAAATATTTATAATGCCTATATATGTAAATGTACAATGCATTACTAGTATAATGGAAAATCAAGCAAATGTGAAAAAAAAACTGATGAATTATCAGGTTTCATGCTGAAGAGAATAAAAATTATCAACCTGGTTTATCTTGGAATTTGGTACAGTTCTTATTTTCATTATATTAGCCTGCAAGTGGGGTTTTATATGGGATTTCAAAAGTCATATGATAGGGAGAAAACAGGAAACAAGAATTTAAGAAACTAAGGTTGACACAAAATGACAGAAAAGGAAACTTCCCTTCATTGAAGCAACCACTGAACTGGAAACAATGGTTTGAATTAACTATTATAGAATTCTAGAACCTGACCGAACATATGAAACAAGTGAAGTGTTTGATGAAGTGTGACATTCCTGCTCTGTGCTATGGAACCAAGTACCAAACAGATACCATACCCTTTCTCCACATACCCACGATGAGTATAGTGCCTGAGAATCTAAAGCAATTGGATTACACCAAAATGGACAGAAGGGGCCTTGTTCCCCAAAATGTGGGGCTGTACATTTTATTTTGGCAGTTCCCTAAAAGCCAAGTGCAGATGAGTGCCTTGTCTTCAACCCTTTCAGGTTGAAACAGCTTAATCTGATGAATTTATCAGAACATTTAAAGAGACAGGAACACTATTCCTGCTTTTGAAAAGAAGGCATTTAAGGAAATCTGTCATCTCACTAAATGACAGCAGAAATAATGAAATACAAACTTCAGTGGCTAAACCACAAGGAATATACATTTTGCAAAAATCATTTGGAAAAAGTCACATAAATGGCTATAGCACCCAGCAAATAAAAATCAGCAGTGAGCATGAAGTGGCAGGATAATATTTGCAGAGTTATGAACAATAGGAATCTAAGGACAAAGAGCTAAGGGAATTAGGGAAATGATGTATAAAGAGAATGACAATATCAATAAAAATAGAGAAATTATAAAAAGGAATCAAACAGAAATTCTGGAAGTGACAATTAAATTCACTGAAATGAAAAATGCACTTCAGGGATTAAAATGTGAATTTAGTAACTGGAAGAAATTATTATCTAGTAACTGGAAGAAGAATAAATTAAAATGACCTAGTAGAGAAGCAGAAAGAAAGAAGAAATGGAAAAAAAAATTAACAGAAGCCCAAGGATCTGTTGTACACCATCAAGCATACCAACACATGTATCACAGGATTCCCAGGAGAAAAAGGGACAGAAAAATATTTGAAAAAATAGCTGAAAATGCCCCAAACCTGATGAAAATCATAACTGAAAATATCCAAGAAACTCATCAGCTTCAAGCAGGATAAACTCCAAGAGGTTTGCACTGAGACAGTTTCTAATCAGATTCAAAATGTAGCAGGAAAAAAAAATGAATAAAGACACAAGAGGGAAGTAAATTCTTACAAAGAATGTCTGATTTCTATCACTGAATGAATACTGGATTAATGAGGAAATTGAAAAAGAAATTACAAAATATCTCAAGACAAATGGCAAGAAGACACAACCTAATAGAACCTATGGTATAGGACACAACGATCCAGTATTAAGAGGGAAGCATAAAGCATTAAGGGTCCACATCAAGAAACTATAAGAGTTCAAATAAATAATTTTATCTCTTAACTTAAAGGACTAGAAAAGAG